ATTTACAGCTATGCCTTGTCATTAGTTTACTCGCTAAACTCTGATTAAAGTCCATGGAAATTTTGTAAATAGGGGAATGGCCCTTGACAGCCCATCACTATGTGCTGTAAAACATGCTGCTTCTAGAAGTTTAATGTGTTTTAAATCACTCTGAATCTTAGCAATGATGGCTAAAGTTATAGCTGACTGGACCTATTTGTTAAAAATATATTTGATTACCCAACTTAAGAGATTTTAAACAAATGCATTTTAAAGGTGACAGGGTTTGCTGTTAATGATTTCTGTAATAAATTCTAAGCTGTAAACCCCTCATTTCATTCTTTACTTTTTTTAATTACAGTTGCTTCCTAGATGCCATATATGTCTATGTAAGAAATGAGAAATCTAATCATGTTTTTACATGACTTTTATTTACCCAGTTTTTTTGTAACAAGAATACAGAGGACTTAACAAACCTGGAAAGAAAAGTTACCATTATTTGTATTTATCTGAGTAAGCTGCCTCCACATCTTCCCACTGTTGGAGCATAAGCTTAGAACTTCCTACACAATAGTATAGAAGAGGTCCTTATCTTTCTCCCTCTGTAACAGAATTCTTAGACTATTAAAAAAAGGCAGTTTTCTTAAACTAGTTCACTGCAGAATTAGTACAGGCTATTGACTCATGCATTAGAGAACAACAGGTTTATCTGACAGCCAACTATATCCTAACAAATTGAAGGAAAGACAGCTTTTACCATTTCAAGAGTAAAAGTCCAAATAAAAAAAATTGTATAGGACCATCATGGGTCTGTTCTCCTGAGCAGTGAGTTTCGTTTGAATCAAAATAGTACAAGATTTCCAGGCATCATTTTCACCTGCCTTAGTATAGAGGCAGGCCCAGATCTATTTATGACCTTGGCAGTCAAGCTGTTGTTTTGAAGGACTCCAATGTCTTTGTTTCACCTACATACAAGGGCTTGGGAGGTACAGAAAGTCTGTTGTGCCCTTTCAGAGAACAGACAAGGTGATCTGTTCTAAGCTTTGAAAGGCCTTTAGCCAAGACACCCCTGACAATCAAAGGTAACACCTTGACAGCAGATTATGCATCTGTTAAGAATTTTCCTACTATTTCTCTGTTGCTCCCTTTAGCTAGGCAAGGAAAATAATGGATACTAGCACAGAGACCTTAGCACAATAAACAGGCTTTACACAAAGGAGATACCCATCAGGATCTGTGTTTCTGATGAAATGTGAAAGCCCTTAATAACAATTTTTTAAAAAGTGCTTTTGGGATACGATTCCCCCCATATTGATGGTATCATGCCCCTGGCATTGTACTTGGTTGACATAAATGAGATCCAGGACCTCAAACTAGCAAGGTTGGGTAAAAAGGCCTCTGGAATAAGTACCACCCTGATGAAAAGTATATGGAAGCAAGATGCTTCTTGAAAAAGACAGAGCCCTTCCACAGCAGATAGGACAAAAGTTAAAGCCAGGTACCTCACTGCCACTACCACCTGGGAGAAAGCCTGATTAGTAGATGAACAGAGCTAGATTTTCAGTGCTGCACTCATTTGACTTCACTGATGGTGAGGGAAGTCTCCAAGAATAGAGCCCTTGTGAGGAAGAGTGCTTGGAAAATGATTGTGCTGGAGCCTTTACCAATCTAGAAACCTCCAAGGACTCCAGCACTGCTTGCTGCAGATATAGTGGTCAGCAGACTTCCAAGTCTGAGGAGCCTTCCTTATCAGTAGGCTTTTGAGAGACAGGTACAACCACACTTCACCAGCCTAGTGAAAAGTGAGGAAGGATATCAAATATGTTTAGAGCTCACTATTATTAGCTTGCTAGTTCCTATGCTGCACATGCCTCAGCCCAGCTGTTGGGTATGGTAGACAGCTCAGGCATTCTGAGTACATGCCCCACTGTTGCTTTCAGGCTCTTTTGCTACCAAGGGCCTGAGAACAGTACTGGGGCATGAGGTTAGGGCAGGTTTGGTCCCTGAGGCTAGCTGTGGCAACCCCTGTTGGCCACATAAAGCCTGCCCCCACTCCAGCTGCCTGCCACACCATGACATATATGAAGTGGGAGGCTACTGAGTCCTGGAGTGATCCTGGTTGTCTTTAATTGACCTAGCCAGACTCTTGGTCCTATTGATTGCTGGTCTCTGGACCTTACTTTGTTACCCAATTTTTCTGTGTTCTGCTGAACTTTCTCCTGTCCTACAGGCACCACTCATGGCCCTTTCCATACTTCAGAGCACTAAATTGCCTTAGAGATGTTAATTATGGCCTCCTCTATAGCCACACCTATGCTTCATGGGAATTAGTCACTACTAGTTGGCAATTCCACCCCTGTAGACCTTGGCCTTTACAACCTTGACTCCTTTCTTCTGGAGGTCACCTTTGGCCCTAGCTCACTCATCCCAGCTATGGGCCTCAGCATTAGCTACTTCTCAGTTCCTAGCCATAGTCCTTCCGACCTCAACCTTCTCTCTAGACACCTAGCCCCATTGTGGCTTCAATCCCTCTGCCTTAATTCTAATTATCAGAGCCTTAGCCCACCTCTGTTCAGGCTTCAGCTTTCTCAGCCTTAGCCTAGTCATACTCCTGCTCAGTGCAGAGATTGACACCCACAGTGCCCCAGATACTTTGCTACATGGCCTTCTGTCCAACCTGATAACCACAGCTCAGTCCTCCTGTGTTTAACAGCCCACAATAATAAAAACCACAATCAATATCATCAACTGGGACTGAATGCCTCTCTCTAGCTCCTATACTGTTTACGTGGCTTCTCCCAGCTCTGGCTCTTCTGAGCCCACTCACAGTTTCACTTCTACCCAAGTCTGCACCAAAACCACCTTCTATTAGCACAGTTTAAGCTAGGCTACCTCTTGTGGCTCAGGAGCTTATATCTTTCAGAAGTCCACCTCTTCTGGTCAAGTGATCCCTTGACCACATGCAGGTGTCTTCCCTCAACTTAAGGAGCAGCCTGCCTTTATCTGCTACAGTTTGCCTACCTACTTCTCTGGAGATCTGCCATTTTGTCTTGCAGCTGGCTCCTATATAGCTATGTTGCAGCATTTTTTTAAAGGTTCTGAACCAAAGTGTACTGAAGTCAGTGGAAGTCTTTCTATTGATAACTGTGCTTTGTATCAGGCTCTTAAACTGGTGTAGGTATTTTATACTTTGTGGAAGTCCCTGACTCCACAAGGTACAAAGCTGTGAAGAATCAGACATTGTATCAGAGCAGGACTGTTGCATCACAAATATCTTATCAGACTTCAGGGGCAAAGTATGGATAGAGCGGAGGCATTCCACAAAGTATCTGTGATCAAAGGGACATAAACAAATTATAATAATTAGAAACAAGAATAGCTGGAAAAAATCAGTTTCTTCTTCACTTACCTATTGTTAGTTCAAGAAAGGATTAAATGAGAACCTCCTGGGGACTATGAGAAAAGCTTGCAGTTAAAACATTCATTATTGCTAGGAAGCCTCCTAGTCCAAAATATTTGGATAAAGTCTTTCCAGTGACATAAAATGGTGTCTTTTACTTGATGCAAGAATGCCTATGCCAATGCTTCACAACTTTTTTGAACTCAATGCACCCCTTACTGGACTCGAGCCCCTAATTTTGGTGAATTGAGTAGCACCCAATTTAAAAAATGGAATTCATACATTACAGTACTTACCTCCTTGCAGAAAGGCCTGGCAGGGAGGATGGGTACTCATCCAGGCAGGGACAAACCTAAGCCTGGGCTTAATTAATCTGTTTATGACTCACTTTTCTCCTCACAGCTTGCAGCACCCTTCAGAAGATCTAGCTGTATATCACTGGCCCGTACTATGCTATATTAAGGACTGGGCTAGCACATTGGTAATGTAGGCACATGTACATAGATTTTGAAAAAAAATAGTTCACACAGCATGCTAACTGCCTGACCTTGCTTGATGAAAAAGCGTGTCTGGTTTCAGCTACAAGCAATATCTACAGTTGATCATATTTCTATTCTCACTCTGCAACTGGGAGGAGGTGGCAATTTAAAGTTCAGTCTGCTAGTCCTTTTTTCAGTGTGCTCTCAATCTTAAGAAGTCCACAGCCTTTTGTAGCAAATACAGCAAGATGGGCAGCAGGTCATTTACAACCCTGCAAGCTTTTTTTGGTTCTTGGGGCTGCATCTTAGCCCAGACCCACAAGGAAGTGAGATCTCTCTACCCTATCAAGTAGGTTGAAATATTCCACTGGATGGCTTCTGTTTACAATGCATCACTCCCTGAAAACCTACCTTGAAAACAGCCTGACCTGGAGTCCCCTACTCCAAAGAATGGACTTTTAAGGCCTGTTGATAACGAAGGGCTTGCCAGAGCAGCTGGTCTAGTCCACTAGCTTTTCTGTGACAGTGGCCAGCATGAGATGCGCATTAGAGGAAGATATAAAAACCACAGGGAATAGCCAACCCCTGCAGCATAAAGTTTACTATCTGTTTCAAAAAGAAATTGCTGTTTAGGAATACGGGCCTTCAACAACTTCGTGGAATTCTACCACAATCCTGATTTCTGGTACTTCTATCCCTTTGTTTAGGATGAGTTTTATTTGTCTGAATGAAACAAAAACTCCAAATGGCCTCAAACCTTGGGGAAACACAAAACTCAGCTCTGTAAGTCATAGTCAAGTTGTGAGGTCTTATCATAGCCCCAAACGAAGCCCTTGGTCCAAACTGCTCACTGTAAACCCCTTTTTTTTTTGTCATTGTTCTTAAAGTCTACACTTTGGGATATGTATACATTTTAGGGACGTTTGGATCTGATCCTCACTTGCAGGGCGCGGAACCAGCTACGTTCCACCGCCAGGAACAGGCTAAATAGACAGGACCCCCAGCTGCGAGAGCGCGTGCTCCTTTTTTGCCGGCAGAAGCTTCACAGCTGAGAGCGCGCATGCTCTCCCACTGCGGGCATGCGCAGTAGTGCTGCACGGGGAAGAATCTGACGGGGGGCTTCCTTTGGCGACTTGGGGAGGAAGAACCAACGGCAGTGTGCAGCTGCACTTGGCAGAAAGTGGCGCCGCGGCAGGTGAGTGGCGCAGTAGGCCTTCGAGAATCGCCGGGTAGGGGTGGCTGGCTCTCTCCTCCCAGGGTGACGCGTCACGCCGGTTTGGGTGCCATGGGGGGTCCCATGTGAACCCGCTGCTGCTGGCTTGATTCGCATCGGGACTGGAGCGAGCTGGGAACCATCCCCCACAGCCCTGCGCCTAGCCGCAATGGCGGCTGCGGGGCGAGGGGTTCTGAGTGCGATCGCTTCTATTGGAAAAAGCTCCGTAGGTGACGGCCAATCAGATGCGCTTCCCACTGCGCGGCGGGCTTCATCAGGCCAGTGCGGGTGGGAGGGGGTGGGGAAGGTCTTGAGTGCGGCCGAGTGTACGGTAATAATTACCGTGTTTACACGATCATTTCAACCCTTGTACGGTGCATCATCAATAATAGCAAATATGTTCAAAGTGTACCTGTTTCAGGGGTATGTATCATATGGTATGTACCATAATTTTTGAGGCATTTCATATATACAGTATGTGCAAAACCCACGTCACTCAGGGAAACTTAACTGACTTTTAGGTTTGCTGTCAGCACTTTCTTATGACAGCTAGCCTGGAAATAAATAAGTGCTTCGGCTCTGACGACCCAGTTCTGTCACTGCAAAGTTACAGTAAGCAATATAAAGTAAATAAGAAGATGACTTTTTTGCGTATTTTTTCAGTGTACATTGTTTTTCAGCGAATATGATCATTTTGAGCTTCCAATATGATAAGTTAATATTTAAGACATGGCAATGTTGCCTGACTCTTCCCTGCAGGTTGTGGCTGAATGATGCATGTCATGGCCTTCCATGCCAGGGTAGCAGAAGAGGGCTGGGATAGCCAAGACAAGCCAGAAGCCATGCCAGAGAGGCGAGGGTTTTGCAGGGTGATACCACAAGCCAGACCTGCAATGGTGCTGTTTTTGGCATGATATTAGACAAGCTTTCAATAAAGAGCGGCTGGCAGGCTTTGGAAGTGCTTGTCTAACTTTATTCCACCTCTGCGGAGTTGGTTTGGAACGGGATACTGCCCCAAGGCCCCTGCCACATATTATATATATGTTCACTGGTGCAGTATGTTGAGACCAGCCAAACATGCAAAAGAGTGAGACTGGTCAGTCATGCAGTAAATTAAGACTGGCTGAACAATCATGCAATTCGTTGATTGGTCACACAATAAGTGGATGCTGGCTGCATGTGCTAAATACTGAGCACACAATAAAAATGACTCTCCCGTAGGCCTGTGTGGGTTGGTAGTGAACTGATCCGCCTTTGGATCTAGCCGCTTCAGATGGCCGCGATCTGATCCGGAGCTCCGGATTGGTTTGCCACTTTGATCTGGCTGAAGTGGTACCAAAGCTTTGGAGCTGCCTCGGAGATCCGGCTATAGGTTATAATGGACGATGAATTAAATTTCTGTAACTTTGTTATTTTAGTTCCGATTTGGATGTAACTTGCAGGAGTGGTAGCCTCTGCTGAGAGCATGAAGCCTACCACGTTTCAAGAAGATCGGTGCAGGGGTTTGGGGGGGAACTGCACCCCAAATCCTTGAAAGCAGAACTCCTGTCACGTCTATGTGTTACAACACAGGGCGCTGAAAACTGCAGGGGTAGTAGCCCCGGGTGAGGCCACAAAGCCTGCCAAGTTTTAAGAAGATCAGTGCCAGGGCTTGGGGGGAATTGCACCCCAAGCTGCTGACAGGCAGAACTCATCATGTGGGTGGGTGCTTGGGCGACTGTGTCTGTCTTGGGGCACAGGGGGTTAAATCTAGTGCAGGCCTGAGTGCTGGGCCCTGCTAGGCTATGAAGCCTGCCAGCTGTGTGTGTCTTGCTGGGGGAGTCTGTCGTCCAGGGCCCTGCACCCCAAGCTGCTGACAGGCAAAACTCGTCATGTGGGTGGGCGCTTGGGCGACTGTGACTGCATCTGTCTTGGGGCACAGGGGGGTTAAATCTAGTGCAGGCCTGAGTGCTGGGCCCTGCCAGGCAAAGAAGCCTGCCAGCTGTGTGTCTCGCTGGGGGAGTCTGTCATCCAGGGCCCTGCACCCCAAGCTGCTAACAGGTAAAACTCATCATGTGGGTGGCTGGGTGCTTATAGTTTCATAGTGTGTAGGGTCGGAAGGGACCCGAGCAGATCATCGAGTCCGACCCCCTGCCATGGCAGGAAAGAGTAGGTGTCCAGCCTCCTCTTAAAGACCCCCAGGGTAGGAGCCAGCACCATTTCCCTTGGAAGTTGGTTCCAGATCCTAGCCACCCTGACAGTGAAGTAGCGCCTCCTGATATCTAGCCTGAATCTACCCTTTGCCAGCTTGTGACCAATATTT